ACTTTTGATGAACTTTTGATATCCTGTGAGTTTTAAAGCCCCAAACAAATGGTAATACTACTGAGTCGACCACAAGCAAAAATTGCTTATTCAAAAAAATAGGTGAGTTTAAAAATAAATATAGAAATTTAGGAAGGGAAACCATTTTAATTACATTAATGCGACCTACCATGGAAATAGGGAGAGCCCTCCATTTCTCAATGTCCTTTGTCAATTTTTCAACTTGTTCTAGATAATTCAACTTAAAGATCAATTTAGGATCCTTAGGCAAAATAACACCCAAGTATTTCAATCTGTCTGTAATTTTAAAAGGCAAACTTTTCAAAAAATCAACATCCAAGTTTGCAGTTAAAGCCACAAACTCACTCTTCTGCCAATTAATTGTATAACCTGAGATTTCCCCAAACGACCTCACCACATGTAAAAGTACAGGAACAGATTGCTCAGGATTTGAGAAGAACAAAACAACATCATCCGCATATAAAGAACCAGCTGCTCTTTGTTGACTTTAGTTCTACTGTAACTGACACAGACGGACAGTAAAACAGCTGGATATTGGACTTCCTTTTACCAACTGCTGCTAGATCAGAAATTTCTCTTGGCCTGTGTACAGAGAGTTAGAGGGGGACCTCATCTTTCATCAGCCCTCAGCCTTTACACCGGCTCTCCACGAGGCTGTTTACTAAGCCCCTCATGAGCACACATGACTCTGTCAGTACCCAACCAAGACAATGCAGTCATCAAGTTCACAGATGACAACACCGTTGTGGGGCTCATCTCTGGGGGAGACGGCGTACAGAGCTGAGGCTCAGATGCTATTGGATTGGTGTGCAGACAACAACCTGGTGTTGGACTTCAGAAGGACGAAGTCAGTGCTACAGCCCATCAGCATCAACAGGAAGTGTTTGGAAAGGTGTCCAGTTTCAAGTTCCTGGGTGTGCACACAGACACAGACCTCCAATTGAGCTCAAATACCTGAGAGGTTTTAAAGAAGGCCCAACAGCATCCTCCAAAAATGGACCTGAAGAGGGAGCTGCTTATTGTCTTGTACTGTTGTGCCATTGAAAGTGTGCTGACATACTGTATCTCCAGCTGCACCATGGCCCAAAAAAACCACTGGACTGCCTCTGCACCTCCCTAAAGGCCCTATACAGTGCTTGCAACATCCTACAGGACTGCACACACCCAGGACTATGGGTGTTTAAGTTGCTGCTGTCTGGCAGGAGATTCAGGCTGAGGTCACAGACAAACAGACTCAGCCTTTACAACAAGGCAATAGCCCTAACCAATGCTAACAGCTGACCTGATCAGCTACCTCCCTGGGCTTTTCTGGTAGGAAATAATGTGCAATAAACATTCATTATTTCTATATTAGGCCATACCTATTTGCAATTTTTTATCCAATCTAAAGTTTACTGTGCTCTGTTTTGCTGTGTTCAGTTGTGTGTAGTGCTGACGTGGGACAATTGTCCAATTTCGTTATACTACTGTAAGTATGAATGTGCAATGATAATAAAGAGTTATCTTATCTTATTGTGCAATCAAAGCTTCATTATGATCACAGCCCCTTAACCTGGATGTAGGGAATAACCAAGCAAAACGACGATGACGATGAATAAATAAACACTTTAATAACACAACTTGTTAAATGTACTACGTAGTAGAATAGAATAGAATAGAATAGAATAAGCCTTTAATTGTTCCACAAGGGGGAATTTGGTACATCTTAACAGTAGTTTTACTAATAATGTGTGGATTACATACATGGGTTTAAAATGCAGTAAAGTGCCTGCTGTAACTCTCCTTCTGCACCGCTCTGATAAATAGCTGCAGTAAGAGACCGTTAAGAGAGCGCAGACTGTCATTACCATCACAGCAGATTCTTTTGTCACACATCAGGTGATCGTTCAGCTCTCCAACCCCCACAGAAGGCCAACGACTCCACATGTAGACCATAGTCCATGAATCATTGACAGGAAGTATTTACAGAACACTGTTATGAAACCAATCCTTTTCTTTGTATTTTCCCGAACTTCCCGAAGTTAGAATTAGAGATGGCACAATACCACTTTCTTATGTCCGATACCGATATCCTAAAT